ATATATATTAGTACCCGATATGTATATGATATGTGTATTATTTGTGTATGATTTTCTACATTTTGAGTACCCAATATGTGTAAGATATGTGTAGGATAAATCATTTTTTTACCAGTGCTAATCACTAATAGAAATGATATATGTGTTTGGAATTATGCGGTGATAGTGATTATAGTCAAATTGTGATTATAGAGAGTAATTTGATAGTATTTAAAACCGTTTCTCAAAATCAAATTCTTATAAAGAAGTGTGACTGTATAGGGTGTGACTGTATGGGGGTTTAACTGTATATATAAAATATATATACAAGATATATATGTTGTGCCTTAGATCGATTCTTGCCTCAGATTGAAGCTCATGCACCTCACATTGAGATTGTCACCTGACGCACCTCATTTGAATTATTCAATAAAGTCTGTTATAGGTAAACTTTTTTTCTCATTAATTAAACCACTTTTTATAACATAAATAAACTTGTGCACCATAATGAATTACATGTTTCCTGAAATTTTTATGTAAATCCGATTTATATTGAAGTTTATATTTGTGTTTTATCTGAAAAATCATTATATTTTGAGTCATTTTTCAAATGAAAAGATTTAATAAGTATAATTCCAATTAATCTGAAATTATAGGATTGTATACTTAAAATAATGATAAATAAGTTTACTTAGTACTTAAAAATACATTAAAATTGGAAATTTTGATGTTTAATTATAGCTCATTTATATTAGCAATTGAGGTACGTCAGATGACAATCTCAATCTGAGGTGCGTGAGCTTCAATCTGAGGCAAGAATCGATCTGAGGCACAACATATATACTGACCTTTGATCTCACTGGATGATATAAACATCTAAATTTTTTTGGTCCTCTTTAGTGTAATTTTTCTTAAATATTAGAGCAACCAATTTTGCAAATAATATTCAAAGATAACATAACTGGTCAACTACATATTTTTTTGTAAAAAACATATGACATTAACATATGATTAGTAAATGATTCTTTTAATAAATTGATATCAATTGCCCGATCAATTAGAAATGGCATTATTATTGTCAAACAAAGATAATCTGAAAAGAAATAAGAATTAAGATGAGTTATAGGATTTTGTTGACATGACCATCTACTTGAAAACTCAAAATATTTCAAAGTATTTAAAAATGATTCTCCTCCTTTAGACGTCAAAACTGAAAATGTTTTTTGTAATATATTATAGCTAAACCTTTCATGCAATGAAGAGGATATTGTAGATGATAATTACAAGTTATACTATCAAAATTGGAGGATTTTTTAAATACCATATTGCTGTAATAATAGTTCTTGTTTATGACAAGTTTAAGCATTACTCAATTTGACATATTGTTTAAAAGTTATATAATGATAACATCTGCCCGCAGCAAGCAAGATCAAAAGATATATAGCATAGTTCATCATGATGGATAGTACAGATATGACAACTATGATTAGCATTATAATGCTTTATTCCAGCTTGTTCGTTTCCTTCAGGTAAATCTGATTATATATAAAGTTAAAATTAAAGCCCAAAAGTAGAAATATTTTGACTTGGGAAGGTTAAAAGTCGAAATCATATGGGCTGATTCTTGGAATCTAATTTTTTTACACAAAAATAATTTTATTAAAGCAAATATAAATTATCATTTATATAAGAATAATAAATTTATACTAGATAATGCAAAAAAAACTAATTAATTATATAATTTTTAATTTTTTTTTAATATAAGATATCATTAAAATTTAAAAGATCAAATATAACTCTCATGACAAAATCATTGATAATTCTTCGTAGAAATAAGCTATACAAATAAATTTACATTCATTTGAAAGAGAAAATCGAGATCTATCTAATGAATCTAAAATCAAGTGAATTGAATCACTAGTTGTTCAGTAATCACGTTCAGTATATTATTGAATTTTATCTAAATTTGATCATTAATTACTTCACATATAGTGATTCAATTTGAATGATCTTTGCTCCCTAAGGTGATGCCAACTTTTATCTTTAAAATAAATTTAAAATAATTCGTTTAATATATGTAGATGTTTAGGAATCATCAATTATATTATTAATATAAAATTTTATAAGTTTGATAAAATCTGATATAAAAAAATTTATTAAATACCTGTAGATGCAAGCTACACGAATGAAATTATATTCATTTGAAAGAGAAAATTGAGGTCTATCTAATAAGCCTAAAATCGAATGAATTGAATCACTGGATTGTGAATAATTACGTCTAATATATTTATTTTTAATTTTTAAATTTGATTTGACTTTGATCGTTAATTACGCCTCATCCAGTGATCCAATTTTCCTGATCTTTGATTCTTACGATAGAGCAAATTCTCAGCTTTCAAATGAATGTAAAATGATGACGTTAGCATATCTCCAGGAATAATAATGCACGATTTTGTCACCTGCATAAAGTCCGATCTGAAAATTTTATTTCTTACCAAAAAATGCTTTCATAAGAGAATCCCAAATTCTTTTACTTTATTTAAAAGATTTTATTTGCCATTTAAGGATTTTAGTAGAATAAATCTAATAAAATAATTTTAAAAGATAAAAAACAAATATATAATTAGTTATTTTGAAAAAAAAAGAATATCTTATTATTCATTTTACAACTATTTTACATCATAATTATTTTTTATTTGCATGTATTTTTTACAAAGAAAAAACAATAAATTAAAGCTAAAAATTATGAAAAAATATGTCTTATCTATGTATATAAAATATTAAGTTTTTTCTTTTACTTACCACTTAAAAATAACTGCTATATTTGCTTATAAACTTTTTTGTCATATTTAATAAAAGTGAATAGAAAAATGATGGAAAAGTGATGGGCAGTGATGGGGAAAAAGAAGTGGTTATTACCGTTATTTTTGAATATTGATTAAAAAAATTTTTTTTATTTTTTATTAAATCTGAGTTATGTAAATATGTAACACATATTTAATTTAGATTTGTGTAATGTTAATCTTACTAAAATATTAACTTTTTATAAAAATCTTAATTTAGACTAATTCCAAAAATCGGCACATATGTTAAAATCGAAATGGTCAAAATTACATCATAGTCATGTGATTTTTATAATTATAATTTAATATAAAATTTTAAACGTGAATAACTCCATCAATATTGATGCTACAGATATGAAATACATATCATTGGAATCCTCTCGATGAGCTGAATCAAACCGCGTAAAGATCATAAAAATCGAATCACTGGATGCGGAGTTCGTTAACTTTGAATTTTAATATTATTGTCTACTATAAAATCATATGACTATGATGTAATTTCGACCATTCCGACTTTTGGAGGGGCTCAAGTCGAAATCATTTTGACTATTTTGACCATTTCAGAGGTCAAAATTAACTAATTTCGGTTTCATGTATAAATCTGATGTAATATTACACAATCCACCTGTTATCTTTATTTATAACCACTGTAAAACCATTTTCTAGTTCTTTTATATTTGCAATTAAAGGTCTTAAAACATCAGTGCAATTTGTGCCAAAAGGAATAAATCCTAAAAGAAAGTGATTTTTAAGTTTTTAGTGGCATATTTTCAATTTGCAGATAGATGCCTCCTATTGCATGATATGCATTTTGAAATGATCCAAATTTATTAATGTAAATATCAAGGAAAAATTTGAAGACTAGTAGTCCATCTGGAATTTTTTGTATTTGAATGTATTCAATTAGATGTTGATGACAAAGTTCAATTGATCTTGTAGTCCATGTATTATTAATTTTATAAATAATTTTATCAATAATATAATCATAATCATCAGGTTCATCTGTGTCTATAAGCCATACTTTGATTTTAAACTTGGTCCAAGTATTTTGAATAATTACATTTTCATTAGTTATCCAAAGTTTTTATGAAGTTTGATTTCTTTTTTGACAAGACTTTAAAAATTTAGGTAGTAATAAATCAAAGTCACATATACTTTCCACTTTAGTTAATGGATGATTGGTTTTATCACAAATAACAAAACCAACAATTCGTCCATAAGAAATATTTGTCCCTAATGAGTTGTGATATTTAATAAACTGAGTTAGGATCCTGAAATATATATAAAAGGTAAGGTGACTTTTGAACTTTTTACTAATAGCTATATGCAAGGGTTTTCTATAAGTTTAGTACGCAAAATTGCCTCCTTATTTTGGATTATTGGAAAAAATATGCAAATTAATTTTTTAACCACTGATAATCATGTGATTTACCATATTTTGCAGGCCACAGTACCCCCTCTATGCACAGTACCCTACAAAAAAGAACTCCCATTTTCTACCGATTTTATTATTTAAAATAATTTAATAAATACCTAGGTATTACTCATGATAAATACCCAATTATTATATAAGTTTTATATATATCTACTAATAATAAAAACTCACACAATAGTGGGGGGTATAAGGTCAAAACCTCTGAAATCTGTATCATACCCGGGGTACTGTGGCCCTGTTATACGGTACATATTGTTTTATTAATCATTTATCAAAGAATTATTTTTTAAAAAAATTTAATAACTTTATGTTACATAATTATATAAATGTATTATTAATGCACAAGCATTACACATTTTTTTGCATTAAATAAAGTTTTTTTGCACTAATAGTTATTTATATTTATTTATATTTATTTCAATAAAATATATATATATATGATCAGTCAAATCATTAAAATACACAAAATAAACCATTACTTAAACAAAAACCTGTTAAAAATACGCATTTTAATAGTCTGATTATAGCTAAAAAATCCTCAGGTTGTACACAAATCAATACCTAACCCCATAAAATTTCTCTATGCTGGCGATGCAATTATATACCTTACCCCTACATATATATTTCAGAGTCCTCCCGAGTTTATATATAACTAAAAAAAAATGAAATAAGTTAAAATTACATTAAAATATCAATCGATTAGAAATATTATTGATTATATTGACCATTATTTACTTGAATACATGTACTACCAAACAATAGTGATTTATGCCAAATATCACCATGCTATAACTTCCGTATAATATCAGAATAAATGCTAGAATCAAAATACATTTGATTACACAACTTTGGATTTAATAATATATGATATAAAATTAATTTTAATGGAAATATAAATGATTGACGTGTAGGTTTTAATGTTAAAAAAGTGTTCCAATTATTTAGTTTAACATTATAACCATTAAATGGAATTAATGGTAAACTATTTCGATATTTTTTGATGGTAGGAAGAAAGCATGGAACATCGTTAAGATTAAAGTCTGGATGTTTGACAATATTAGAAAAATCCTGATAAGTTTTGCAACCTTATTTGTAGAAAAATATAAATAATTATTTATATTTATTGTTGTAAATCTTACTAAGCTATACATATTTGGTGTTTTGTTATCCATATAAATAACAGAAAATGTGTGTAGTTTTGAAAATATGGACTCACCTTTCCTGAAAAGTTATATGTTATATCGTTATTATCATATTGTTGTAGTTCACCTTGTAATAAAGTGTTAGCAGTATATTTTTGAAATATAATCCAGAATTTTCACTTTTATAATCTATTGTTTGGTTTTCATCGTATTCATAGTCATTTTCATCATACTCATTCCACTCATTCTCACATTCATATTGGTTCTCATATTCATTTACACAATTTATTTCTTCGTCAGATAACTGATTCTGAATTTTAATTTGATCATTTTTTTTTCAAAGCTGTATTCTGCAAGCTGAGAAGAGGTATCAAAAGTTTATTTTTATCTGAGCTACTTAATAAATTATTTTCTTCCAGTGAAATTGTTGCTATGTCATTAAAAACTATTTGTTTTTCCTCATTAGTAAAAGCTTTAGCGAACTTTCATCTTAGTTTATATTAAGATTGCGGGTGAAACTCCATAATAAATGCGAAACTTAATAAAACTATATTAAAAACTTAATAATAAATTGGTAAAACCTAACTATAAAAATTATATATAATAGCAAAACTATAATAAATTCTTATAAAAAAATTGTCAAAACTAAGGTTTAGACGTTTTGCCAAATTCAAAAACTAGTTTAGCCTGCAACTATAGTTTATATAGCCGAAATGTATTATTTTTTATCTGTTATCATGGACTTAGGCCTGCTTTACGCATTCTAAGAGACATTTTAACTACAAATTTTTTCTTTATTTTTATAAATATATGGTGTAAGCTTTAAAAAAATGATATAGTGGTCTTAGTAATTTGAGAATAAGCCACCAAGGAAAAAAGTTTATTGATGAATTTGTACTATAATATTTAATGGTAAGAAAAAAGTTTAATTGATTTAAGTTACATCATTATCTAAACTGAATTTTAATTAGAAATATATAAAAGTGTGTAAAATTCCTTTTCTTTTAAAAATACTTCCTTTATTGCTAATTTATTAAATTATTTATTTTTAAACATCTGATTATTTTTAATTAATTTAATAAATTATTTTTAAATGTTTTAACGCTAATTTTAATTATGGGCAGAAAGAAATCTTCAGTTCGTAATAAAGTGATAAAAGAAACTCCTAATAATAAAGTACTAGCTTCCAATATAAAACTAGGCAGGATTTTAATGAAAAACTTACCATTTCAAATTCATTATGTGATTCAAAGCGAAAAAGTAATCAGCTTAAAGCAAATAATGTAGAAATTTTAATAGAAGAAACTAATAAAATTTTAAATTACAATAAATGAACCAAGAAAGTTGATAAAGGTCAGAATATATAATAGTAACTATAAATTTGTTTATTGATTTTATTTTGGAATATATTAACGTAAATTGATCTTTTTAGTACAAGAATCATTGACCAAAGTTAATGACGAATTAAAAGACTCTAAATCTACTACCGAATCTACTAATATATCACTTTTATTGTAGAGCAGATAGAAATAGTAAATTAACGGTTAATTATAATTTGGGTTAATTTTAATCCAATTATAATTTCCAGTCTATTATAACAAATTTTTAAAATTTTTATAATTTATTTAATCAAACTTATATTTTTATTTTTATATTTATCAAAATTTATTTATTATTCAGTTGCTAAATCTGTAATATTTAATTCTAACCTGAATATCCTATCATCATCATCATTATTGTTATCGTTACCAGTATTATTATTATTATTATTTATTGTTATTATCATTACGCTGATTATGTATTAATTTTCTTTTTAATCCTTTTTTGTATAACTGAAGATTTTTGTAAATATAAACCAACTTCTTAACACTTTCATTTTGCAATTGATTACAGATTTTATTATGAATAAACCTAAACATAGAAAAATTTCTTTTAGTGGTGGCAGATGACGTTGAAATTGAAAGAATCTTAATAGCTAGTTGTTGAATGTTACTATTTGACCAAGATTGCCACTATACAGACAGACTAAGGTTAGTAGATAATAACCAAATCATTTTATTATCATATGGCGAATTTTTTTGATAAAATTTTACTAATTCTGTAAATATAATCACAGATTCCTCTTGACTGAATCTTTTACTTGTGAATTCTGTGAATTCTTTATATTCCGTTATCTTTATATTAGTAATTTTGCTTTCTTCTAAAAAATATGGATCTAACATATAAGTAGCCATCATAACAGGATGGTATGTATAATTTCACCGTTTTTGAACAAGTTGTTGAATATTGTTAGAAAAATTACAAAAGATTTCATTAACTTGATGCATTAATTTTTTGAAGTGAAAATAAACAGTTGAAAGAGTAGATGTGTCTGATTTAAACAATTTTAACACTAAAACCATTGGCTCTAAAAATTTTATAATTGTATTCAACATATCCCAAAAATTTTCTGATAATATAAAATTTCCTATTGTATTATTATTTTTTTACAGATATTAGAATCCATTAATGTTTGTTCAAGAGTAGTTTTTGATTTTTGAAGTGACTGAAAGCAGCTAAGATGTGATTCCTATCGTGTAAGTACTGATAAAACTAACGCAATCTCTTTATTATAATTTTTATCTTGAATACGTTTTAATTTTACTGCTGTTTGTACATCCCTATAAAAAGTCTACATCCTTAAACTGTACTAGTTTTATGGTTAAAATATCCTTATATAGTAATAATATTCTTAAAATATACTGAAATTTGTACGAACAGTATATTTAAAATAGTGTTCTATAATAATAAATAAGTTTAAATTATACAAAAAATATACTTAATTTTTAAATGTAATATTGACTGGTATTTTAAAATATTCTGATTAGATATGGAAAATATCCTTAAAAGTAATTTATCAGTAATTTAGGTATGTTAATATAATATTCTTAAAATATACTGAAATTGTACAAATGGATATTTAAAATAGTGTTTCAAATTGTAATATTTTAAAATATTCAGGGAAGGACTATATACTATTCGTATCGGTTTCACAAATGACCTGGTATGTGATAATGTGTCCTTAAAATATTCTGATCGAGTACATAAATATTTAAATCGGCAAAAAATTAAATAAAATAACGTAATTAGATTATTTAATTTTATAAACTAAATTTCTTTCTTTCTTTAAAAGACACGAATTATTTTTTGAAAAAAGATGTCAAAAACTAAAGACAAATGCAAGAATTGTGCAGGTAAAAAATGAGAACAAAAAAAAACAAAAAATAAAATGTGTGGCAATATAAATCGAATTTTATATCAATTTTTTTGAATCAATATTTCATAATTATAGATTTCGATGCCAAGTTAGAGTTCATTATTTTCATTATTTTTATTTTGTTTTTTATTAGTGCATTATTACTAAAAGTTTCAGAAACAATGACACCGGGAGAACCAGGAGGACCATCACCACCAGTAACACTAGGAGGAATTATTAGGACAAATAGTTCTGGATTATCTTTAAAAATATCGATCTTTCTAATCTTAATAGCACGGTTGGTAAAGTCTTTCTGAAAATTATGATAGTCAAGGTTAGTTTTAAATTACTATGATTTTATATTTAATATATAGGCGAACACGGTATAGCAATAATATTGAGATTTTGTTATGTATAATTATTATAAAGTTATTAATCCAATTTTCATATTTATATTATAAGCATCACAAGATATCGAAGGAAATTCAAACAAAAAACATGTTAGGGAAAGTGATGGTAGTTCTTTTTCATCGTTTCTTTTGTTGTTTACAAAAAGTAAAATTCTTCTTTACTTATTTATAGATGATCAAGTAGAAATATTAGAAATATCGGATACCAATAATACTAACGAAGATTTTTGTACGTTTCAAATTATGTCTTATAATCTTAATAATTAGAACAAACAATAATACTAAATTTATGTTTATTGTTTCTATATAAGGCTCAACCCTAAAAAATGATAAAAAAAGAGTGAAAATCGGTAAAATTTCGTATTTTTTTCTACTTTGTTGATTAACAAAAGTAATATTTACTTTTTGGTATTTTAAATTATATTAGGCAATACTTCGATATGTAAAAAAGTGACTAAACCGGGTATTGTATAATTAACAGAAAGCAAAACTTGTGAACTTGAATCTGAAGTAATATATATATATATTTTTCTTTAGACAAAGAAAGTTTATTGGCTATTAGTAAAATTGGAGATCCTATTATAGATTCATTATTCTATTCTTTGAGCAAATTGAAAAAAACTGGAGTTAAAAGTGTAGCAATGAATTTGGTTAATAATAGTATCAGATTTATCACATTAGACTGAATTTATAATTTTATATTATAAAATGTAAAAAAAAAATAAATAAAAAATTATGAATGATTTTTACGTAGAATAATTAATGTAAGTAAATTATTCGTTCAATTAACTTTTCAGCTAAAATTTAAAGTCATGGGATGTTTATTAAGTTGCCAGCTGGCACAATATATACAAAATATTTTAATTTTACGATAAAATCGCAACTGTACTACGGCACTATCTTATTATTATTATAAAACTCATGATTTCATCATCAGTCACTCCTCCTTTCAATCATAGTCTCCTTCCTCTTACTCTACGTCCAACCCCTCCTCCTCCTTTCCCTCCTTTTCATCATAGTCTCCTTCCTCTTCCTCTACGTCCAGCCCCTCCTCCTCCTTTCCCTCCTTTCCATCATGACCTTTCCCTTTCATGTCATTATGAATTTCCTCTACCTCATTATCGTCCAGTTCCTTTTCCTTTCCCTCCTTTTCCTTTCCCTCCTTTTCTTCTTCCTCATCATCTTCGTTAATTAAATCATCAAATCCATTTATCAAGGTTCCATTTTTTTTAGAGACCAAATTTAACTTTGACATACATTTTTTTTTAATCGAATAATTCCCATTGATTTTCACCACTTTTAACATTAGACTTTTTTTAATTATACTTGCCAAAGTATAGAACCCATTCTCATCAATACTACAATATTGAAACCCCAGATATTCAATATTTTTATTGGTACCCTTTAATAATACCTCTAAAATATATATAACACCTTTTTTACATATCAAACAATCATTAATTATTAGTTGTTTTAAATCCAGCCAGTTAGCCAAAGATAGACTAAGCATTTTAGATGTTTTTTTAGTGAAAAAATTATCTTCGAGATTAATAATTTGTAACTTCTTACACAAACTTAAAGACTCTACATCAGCAAGTTTGAAAAGCGTTGATTCACACCAGTATACGCGTTGATCAACACCAGCTAGTTGTTCAACGCGTTTTACAATATTAATCAACACCCGTATACTGGAGTATATCAACGCTTAATGTTAATATACGCGTCATTCAACTCTAATG